TCCCCCAAGGTTGTTCTTTGAGAATTAGTATAGGGCCTGGCGCAATAGCATAGTGGTTGAAGTGCTTGCCTTGCATGTTCCAGGATCCCATATGGGTGCTAGTTCTAACCCTGGCAACCCCCGCTTCCCATCCAACTCCCTGATTGTGGCCTGGGAAAACAGTCGGACGGCCCAAAGTCTTGGGACCCTGCACGCGTGTCATATGAAGATGTGCAGTGTGCATCTTTACTTCCAAGTCAAAGATGGACCCCCAATGACAATATCCTAACTTGACAACAGGATGCTGGACTCTGCCATTGTCCATACCTACAGTGTCAAGATACACTTAAATAGCAGAATGATGGACTGTTTATGGATGACTGTACTATTGTAATAATACAGGAGGAATCAGTGGGGAGAAGAGAGTTAACAAAGGGAGAGGGGAAATCCCAGAGCCTATGGAAATGTATCATAAAATAATAATAATGAAAAAAACTATTTAAAAAATAACTAGAGTATTGACCCTTTAGATGGTTTGCTAGTTAAATATTCACTGTCTACAAACTTGTAAATGCTTTAGAGGTTGTGACATTGCATAAAACCAAATAAAAATGACAAATTTGTGTATAACTTAGGAACTTTGGGTCATTTAACTGGCATAAAACATGTGTGTCCTTTAGAATCCAAGTCATATAGGTTCAGATGGAATGTCTCTCCAACTGTTAGTCCACCTATCTGTTTAGTTGAAAAAAGGAATTAGGTGGCAGCTCTATCTAGTGACTTAATTTTTATACTGTATGGGGAAGGCTGCTGTGCCAATAATTTGGAGAACATTTTGGTCCAGCTTGAGGAATGCAGGGACCTGACAGCCACAGGAGTGTGGCCTCCTTGTCAGCTCACTCCTTAGATGGGCTGTCAGAGCTGTTAGGTATGATTTCTGTTTTCACTGGATTTTCTAAATCTTCTCTTGCTGTTCAGATAGACTTTGTAATCAGGCACACCTGAATGATTCTTCTATGAAGTTTCCGAACATTCCATCTTCACATTTTGCTTTATGTACCCATGTGAACCTTCCCTGAGTTTTAATGTTCAATGCATATCTAGCTCTCAGTTTTCCCCTTTTGCTTTTTTTCAAATTTGCACGTGCCCTTAGTAATTCCTCACGCAGTGCTTTGTGAAAGAACCTCTTTGTGTTGAACAACTTCTGTTTCTTGTGATGCTGTTTTTCCTCATGCTTGTTTTGTTTCTACGCCTGGATTCTTGTAAGTTCCTCGGGGAAAAAGGACTCTCTCCACAATGCCTTAATGAAGGACTTTCCCTAGAACACTTCTCATAAAGTACAATTTTTAAATTTCCCCCTACCTGTATATTTATAAAACCTTAATCCTCCTCTTACATAAATGATAGCATTTGTTTATATTCCTATCTTGTCTTTCCTTTTCAATTAGAAAATATTTCAGCATATATATGTATATATAATCCACCATATGTTCATGATTACTGCTTCAGCCTACCATGTCCTACTTTTTAAATACTTAGCGACAGCAGGCTAGCTTATAGAAATACGTCAAGGGCTTAAGTAAATGAAGTCCACTTATTGCATTAAAAAAAAAACATGGAAAAAGCATTGTGAAGCTCTAGGTGTGAGACCAAGCCCAAAATGAATATGATATGACCTATGGAGTCTAAGGTCTAGAGGGATTGCAGAATTGAAAAGCTCACAGTTCTTTTCTCTTAAATTGGAGCCATTCTCCTGCCTGAGTGCATGCTGACTGGGTTTAGGGCTAAGCAGAAGGAAAATATAATTAATATCTTTGGCTCTTTCCTTTATTAATGTCTCCTCTTAAGCAAACTGATGGGTAATAAGTTTTTTTTGTGACTCAACAATCAGGGGCTTAAATCACATACTTTATACTCTCATTGTACCCTACTTATTTCAAAATTTGGGGATTGCCTTTTTTTTTTTTTACCTTGCTAGATATTTAGAAAACATTAAATTTAACGTAAAATTATAACTGAGATATTTTCTGCCTCTTAGTTGTGTATGAGTTACGCTTTCAGAGATGATGTTTACATGTTAAACATATATAAATGCAGACATGAATAAGTTGACCAAATATTATTTATGGTTTATGAAACTGCAGAAGTACCAAGTTACTCTAGGTTGGAGTTGGTTTGTAAGTCTTGATTGAGGAGAAAGGAGCTCTTGGGCTTTGAGAAATACTGTATTTAAGAGAAACCAGCAGTACCTGTCAACAGTTTTTATTAAAATTCATTAAAACATAAAGTTCAAGCAGAAATTAGGAATCACAAGAAAAGGTTCCCGTATGTTCTTCTATGTCGAGAGTGAGAAAATGAAAGAAACTATGAACTTTTGTGTTGTGTAGGTCACACTTCTCTGTCCAGGTCATTTTTTAAATCAGCCTTTCCTTGGCTTGGATATAACTAGAAATCCTCCCATCCTGCAAAACTAATGTGTGATTAGAGTTCAAATAAATTTAGCTCACTCTTCTAAGTTGTATGGAAAAGTGGGCTCCAATCCATGGGAGAGTTGCAGAGGCTGGAATGAAAGCATACGATATAAATGCACTGACTGCTTCCTTTCCACTTTCAGTTTATTTTCCAAATATTTGCCAGTGTTCGGTTCATTTTCTGTCTCCTTTCTGTTGTGTTGGAGGAAGGATGCATCTAACAATGGGCTTGTATACACGCAGAAAGCAGACACACTCATTGTCATTTTAGAATAGCTTCTGTGGGGAGCAGAACTTGAATGCGTTTTTTTTTCATCTACCATCTTTAATTGAAAGTCCTCTTCTTAGCAAAATTTGAATAAACAGTTTTTATCACTTGGTTAAAGTAAATGGTCCCCTTGATTATAGCACATATTAGGTTTCTTCATACATTATAAAGAATTTGGATTGGTTGTAGTAGCTTAGCAGCATTGCTCTTGACATCCTTTAGTGTTTTCTCACACTGCAGCATGAGTGAGTTGGGAGCTACAAAAGTTGTTGGAAAATTTGCATCCTGAAAAAGTCAGACATGGATTCTTCCCCCGCCCAGTTTTTGGCAACAAAATAAACATTTTAATTATAATATTCAAAAAACATTTTGGAATATCCTTATCTGAATTTGTGGGCACGTATATTTTAAGACAATTAAGTTCTTAAAAATTTGCCTGCCATGATAAACACAAAGACCTTGTTACCACTTTCTTTTGTGTTTTATGTTAATTCATTTGTCATTTATCAGGCATAAAAATTTTATACTTAAAAAAACTTTAAAACTGAATGAAACATTGTTAGGTTAGATGGATGTGTTTTTTTCTCAAATTGACCAGACTTTGCCTGTCTTTGAATGTAACAAGAAATTCAGTTGTTGAATTATGAACAGTTGGTGCTAAGTAAGTAATTCATCAGTTGTCTGGCAGAGCCTGTCTGTTTCGGATTTGCAGTTGTAGTGAAATCAGTATTTAAGTGGGTAAGGTAACTTTCCATAGCAGCTTGATTTCCACTTTTGAACACTTGTTGAAAAAAATACTTTTGATATTCCTGACTCTAGAAGTAGGTATATTTCCCTCGGGTTTAGCTTGTGATAAAATCGGTAACACAAAATCTATTGATTGGTCTGGTTGAGGTTGTAGTGAGATGAACAGAAGTTGTCTTTTTTATCTGATTTTTTTCCTTCATGTTTTTTTTTTATATGAAAGTTGTTGACTACAGACTTGCAGATTATTTTAAGTGAAAGTGGAGCTACTAATATATTACTTCGTTATCTTTTCCTGGCTCTTGTATCTGGATATTTCAAAGGGACAACAAGTACATTGGATATCACCCAGCCAGACTGCAAACTCAAAGTGGCTATGTGCAGGCCTGTAGTGTGACTCTGCAACAAGGCTTTTGTTTGCTGACTTTGGTATTTACCTTATCAGATGGTCAGAGTCCTTGTTTAAGCTTTTTTAAAATTGCAAGTGTTCAGAGGACTTTCAGGGTAAAGCTGTTCTTTGATTCTATGTTAGTGATCCATGTCACTGTGTTTTATTCAGACTCATAGAATGTATAATGCCAAGACTGACCTAAAAATATTGATAAATAGATAGATCTTAAGTCATCATGTGTTAGTAGTGTTATCTTATTAATTGTAGCACCTCTGGGCGTGGGGTGATGTTGTTAATGTTGAAGGTTACGTGTGTTGTGATGAGGAGCATATGGGAAATCTCTCTTTTGCACTATGAATTTAGAACTGATCTGATAAATTTTAAGAACTCAGATGTCTGGGTACCACCTTGGAAGTCTTAGTGCAGTGGGTCTGATGCTGAGCTGGGGCAGGTGTGCAGCCAGCACTTCCACTGCTCTGGCCGGAACACACTGTACAGAGCGTGTGCTTCCCACAGGAAGGGGGAAGTCGGCTCTTGTGGAAATATTCCTGTGACTCGTGGGGAGCTTTTCTCTGATAATAGGGTGTAAGTAGAATACAGACTGTAAAGTAGGCTATAGGGCGTCCTATGAAGTGTCTGATTTTATTCTCTTGCTTACTGTTCTTTAACTCTATTTGGCAGCTGAAATTCAATCTGATGATATTTCAGTAAGGTCTAGCCTGCTGTAAAGGCATAAGTAGTAACTATATTAATTATATTTTAAGTTTTAAATTTTATTTTTCGCATGGTTTCACCAGTTCTCTTGACTTTTTAGTAAAAAAAAAAAGCTTTATAAACTTTAAATAAATTTGTAACACTGTTCTTATCTTATTAATAATGTTTTGATTTGAAATTTTCCATAATATAGACACATACCATTTACATGTTTCTGGTGACTTTGTAATTAAACCAAAAAAGAGTACCTAGGTTCAAATATTAAAATTCGTTTAGTACTTTAAAAAGTCAATAAAAAGCCCATAATATTTTTAAAAAGAGTACTTTATCTTGATATTTTGAATAAGCCAATCTTTGAAATCCAAGCATTATTTTTGGGTGTAAGAATGGAGATACTGGCTGTAACCACTTGGTTACAGAAGTGTACAATGTTGTGCTCACTTCAGCAGCACATGTACTAAAATTGGAATGATACAGAGAAGATAGGCATGCCCCTGCACAAGGATGACACACACATCTGTGAAGCATTCTGTTTTTCAGTAGTGTTTTGTTTTTATTTTCATTCATTCAAAAAACGATGTTGGTTTTCCTATTACTTTTCTCGCTGACTCAAAAGCCACACAGTAGCATTGTTTGCTTCAGGAAGGTCCTTGATTTCCGTTTTCATTTCTTCAGCAATACATTCGTTATTCAATAGCATGTTATGTGACTTCATGTTGTTGTAAATTTTCTATTTTTCACACTCTTATTGATTTTGTTTTATGGCTTTTCATTTAAGGGGATGTATAGTAACTGTGTAGGAAAGACTTATCATATACAGATGTGAAGATACAATGCAGAGTGCATCTCTACTTCCAAATCAAAGATGGGCTCCCAATAAAACTGTTGAATGTATCTTGGCAATAGGATGCTGAGCTCTCTTCCATTGTTCATGCCTACAGTGTATCAGGATACAATTAATAGCAAGTGGACTTGTTAGTGATTGTGAAGGACTGTACTATTGTAATGACATGGGGGGAAAAGGGGAGGTTTGGGTGGGGGAAAGGGAAATCCCAGAGCTTGTGGAACTGTAACATGGAATAATAAACAAATTTTAAAAGTGTAAAATGTTGAGATGAATTCATGTTTTTTCGACTACTGAAATGAACTCTGGAAGTAAAAATTTAGTTGGATTCTGCATTTGAAATTTTTAAGGCTATTAAACAGCTATTCACCGAGACTAAATGAAGATTAAGATAGCTCTTCTCATACACTGAAATGTGATTTTATTGAGCTTTTGTTACTGCAGAAAAACATCCCAGGGATGTCTTGTTTATAAATGGCTGAACAACTGCCATGTGTTAGAACTGACAGAAATATTCATTATTCCTTATTATGTTATTTAAGCAAGAAATAATTTCTTGAGTAAATGTGTGTATTATTTGCACTTTATCTGCAAATACGGTTTCCCTTAATGAACATCAAGATGCACTGCTCCGTGGCTTGTGAGCTTTTCCGCAGTTTCCTTTTGGAGCTTGGCTTCGGCTTTGCTGCAGAGCCAGCATACACATGAGAAAAGTGAAAATTGTTTCCTGGCATGACCTCCCACACACATGTCTGGCTTTGTTGAGATAGAAGGACTTCTAGATGGATGCCCTGTGGTCTCCTACTTGATTCTTGTATTTTGAAATCCTTCGCAATGCAGAAAATTAAGGCTTACAGCTGCCTTAGAAATACAGGACATAGTTACATATCAAAAATTAAAAGACTCATGTTTTATTTTTTAAAACTAAAAAAATAGCATTTATATTTTCTTTATGAAAAGAAAAAAGGGCAATGTCAGACTTCAGTTTGTGATTCCCAGTGTATTTATTGCTTTTATAGAATCTGCTTGTTACTAATGTTTGTAGCAGTATTAACTGCTTTTATTTGGAGGGGATTGGGGGGTGGGAAGAGGGGAAAGCGTGGTACCATTTTCTACAGAGCATAAAGATGAAATGTGTTTTTCTATTTTTTAAACCTAGCCTAGTTGCTTATGAGATGAACTGTGTGGTCTGTTAAGAATTTTGAAATATTTGAAAGCTCAGCAGTCTGGGGTGGGAAAATACTCCGTTTGAATACTGGTGACTCGGATGGGCTTGGAAGCATTCTGCTCATTATAGGGTCTTAGCTTGCAATTCAGAAGAATGGGCAATGCCTCTGCCTTTGAGGAGTTAAAGTATGGATGTGATGTTATTATTTTTTAATGCAGAATCAGTTACTAGAGAGTGTCTGTAAGGCCTGTTCTGTGCAATGTAGTGGTTATTTTTGTTGTTGTTGTTAGGCTTAAAACTCTTTTGACTCATGTTTTAAGAATGGAGTTAGGACTTGAACCCAAGTACTCAGATACGGTATCCTAACTAGTGCATCAAGCACCAGGCTCAATGAATATCCTTGTATTTTCTTGTGATTGCATTTTCCATAAGCTTTTTGGAGCCCCTTTGTATGTATATATATGTTATAATGTCCACATATCTTTTAATGTCTTTCAGTTTTAGTTCTTAATAATGATTAAGGAAGCTTTTAACTTTTTTCTTCATTTTGAATGATTTACCTAATTCTGGATTATTTTTAACACATGCGCAAAATTATAGATGAAGTCCCCCCCCCACACCCCCCTTGGGGCTTGACTTGACTTTGGGCTAAAATGAGCTGACAGCTCACCCAGATTGGTAGGAAAGCAAGTATCTGGTAAATCTTGCTCTTATGCTATTGAAGATACTCTTTCCACATCTGCATGGTTTTGATTTCTCAGCCCATGCCCATAAAAATGTATTGGTTGTTATTTTTGCTCTGGACATACCTTTCCTTCCTTCGCCTTTTATATTTGCATGGTGTAGTTTAGAGCTAGTGCAAAATGCATAGCTCTGGGGCTGGACTGTATGGATTCCATTGTGCACTTCCCATCACTGGCTTCTCGGCACACAATAACTGCAGTGTGGAGACCCCTACACAGAGACAGACAGTGATGGTGTTTTATGAAACGCTAGTGGTGTGTGGCATTGACTGTAATCTGCCTTGGTAAGCAGTTGCGCAAATTCCTCGCAAATTGAGAGACCTCCAGAAATGTCATGTTTTGGCCTCAGCAGTAAATGCCACAAATAACTGTACAGGCCTGGGGACTTTGCTCAGTGTCTCAGATTCCAGCCTGCCTTTCTTCATTAGGATCTGCTGTGGATACCTTTTTCATCCACCCTTGTTGCCCCTTTTTTCTTAAGAAAAAGTTCCCCCAAATCTAGTCTGCTAGTATTTGAATCATTTATTTTCAATTTGTCTCAGTCATCTTGCTTTGTCTTTTTCCTTTGGATGGCTCTAATGTTTTATGCACACAAACACACCCATAAAGAAGATTAAATAATTTTTTTCTTTGTAGCCATTTGATTTTACATTGTTGGTCAGTAGTATAAGTAAGGTTAGGTAAAAGCAGACAGGAAAATTAGATTGTGCATGCCACATTTTATTAATGGCTGTGTAGTTTTATTTTTCATGAACTTGGTTCTGTGTTACCATAAGAGAGATTGTCAAAATTCATACTTTATGTAGACTCTACTAATAGAAACAAAAATCACACTTCAGTTAGTAGGATGAAATAATAATGAATCTGATGTCACAGAAGGGGTGTTTAGAGACTTTAGAAGTCCTGCTGCCCTTTCTGCATAGAGGCAAAGATGGCATGTTCTTAAGAGAGTGGAGTAGCTTGTGGTTTCTCTGCATCTGTCATTTCTGTAAAGTCCAAAGGCTGTTTTACAGTGTTTAATTTATTAAAGAAGTGCTCAAGTACAATGTGAAATAAAATATAGAGTTGTGAAAGTGTGCATGAGTGTCTTCTCCAAGATTGTAGTTGGCAGTGTGCATTGGTACCAGTTGATAATCCAGCAGGCCTGAATTCTAGATTCAACTCAATTAAAATTTTGGCTGGCATTATGGCACTGAGCCACTGTGTCCAACAAGTGCCTTTCAGCCTGTGAGTGTGCAAATTACTTCATGATGTGCTATTGCAGGAATTGCTTAGACATGATTTTTCTTAACTCCTTCTCTGAGTGTAACTTACAGCAAAGGAAGTAGAACATAAAATGTTATTGGTGTACATGTGAAATTTTAAAAAGTTATATACATTTATATATATTTAAAAATATATGAAAATGAAAGCAACAAAAAGAGAGGGGTGGAAGGGAGAGAAGGGAGGAGGAAGAGAGAACACATACCCACTGGTTTACTCACTCCCCAGGTGTATGCTGTAGCTAGTGGTAGGCCAGTCTCGGCCAGAAGCTATTATCTCCGTGAGGGTGTCAAGGACCCCCAAGCAAATAGTTGAGCCATGGCTTGCTGCACATTGGCCGAAAGCTGTGATCAGAAACGGAATAGCTGTGGTTAAAATGAGGTGTTCCAGTCTTGGATGTTGTCAGTTCTGCTTGTCATGGGCAGAACCCCATGTCATGATAGCTAATGAACCAACTTTGTGTATTGCAATCTTGGGTGCAAGTTTTAAAGCAAAATATCCCTGTATTTCCTTGATTAACAAACACGTTTTTGTAATTTTTCTTGTAGTCCTGATTTCAAGTTGCTTATTAAAAGAATCCCAAATAATGACAATGAGAAAAAATTACCATTTTGGGTAGATGTATGGAAGACTAATATTTATGGGTATCACAAATAAGGGCATATTTTTTAAAGGAAGTTCAGAAAATCTGAGAAATTAGATCAGATGAACATTCTGCAACTTTAATTTTCTCATTTATGATATGAGGCTGGATTAACTGTGAAAGCCTGTTAGTATTTAAATAGAATGATTATTTTAAAAGAAACTCAGAAAGGTCCTCTGATTTCAGTTGGCCCTTAATAAAGAAATTTAGTAGGCCAAATATTTTGATAAACACCCCCTTTTGAGGTGGGTCTTTCCATTTTAAAGAGATGAAACTGAGCCTAGAGTAGTTTAGTGATCTGTCGTTAGGTGTCTTTTAAGAGGATAGGGCTGGTGAGCAAACCTAATGAATGGCACATTTCTTCCATTTGAGAATTCGGGAGGGGAGAAGAAACAATTTTGGCTCGCATTTCCCTGTTCGTTTCATGTACTACGAATAGGAGTTGCGGCTCAGTTCCTCTCCACTGAGTGAGAATTGTTTGTGGAGTGTGTTGTGGAGTGACTTGAAGTGAGTCACTGGATGGTGTTGATGTCAGCACATGCCCAGATCAGCTTGACTGCAGATCAGTACTATATGATTTTACAATGTGGAGCATTATTATATGACATCTAATATGTGTCTATTAATTTATTACATTTTTTTGTAAGATAAGAAGGACTTTAAGCTAGTTATCATGTTTCTTTTGAGTTACTATCTAGAAAACAAATCAGCTTTTGTAGAACCTCTTCTAGATTTTCTGTTACAATTTTCTTCTTTGCATCTAATTTTTTAGCTTCTGTGTTTCTTCCCCTGGTGTATTCTTATTTTAAACAAAAATGCCAGAAAATCCATTTCTCTTTTCAGTAGTTTAGTTCCTTGAGGGGTGCATCATCCCATGGATTATATATAAAAGGCCTTTGTGGGAAGGTCGCTTTGGATTTGGTGGGAGCCACGCCACTGCTTCAGGGAGCATCTGTTATCTTGCCCAAATAATTCTGGTTGATAGGTTTGCTGGCAGGAGTCACCACGTAGCCCTTTGCTTTGTAGCCAAAAATATGTTTCTTGCCCAAGAATTCAGTTTTCATCTCAGGCATAAAATGCATTCAGTTTAGGAAGTGCCGTGTGCTCCCTTTGGTTCTCAAGACCTTGGTCCTAGCCAGCAGAAATGGCCTTGGCCTGCAGTCTGCCAGACACGGTGGCTCTCTGTAAGTCCTGTTCCCAGCAGGCTTCCAAGGCTCCAAGATGAGGAAAAAGCTACTACAGAATTTTTAAGTGGTACATATCAAAGTCTGTTGAATACTCGTGATTATAATGCAATGAAATGAAATTACTGTAGATTATTAGGTTTTATTTATCCTTCTTGAGAACTGTCTTTTTTTTTTTTTTAAAATTTGAAAACTTGTTGCATTTGTCAGCCATGGTGTCTTTTACTGTGTCTTCCTCATTCTGTGATCTCAGGACTCTCATGAGGTATAAATGGTCCTCTTTCTTCTATTCTTTTTGTCTCGTATTTTCCCTTTTCTTTCATTGCCCCATTTGAGATAGTGTTTTGAAATCTGCCTTCTAGTTTGCTGCTTTTCTCTTTATCTGCATCATATCCTGGCTGTCAAGATTATAAATGAATTATTGTTCTCTTTAATTCTTTTAGTAGCTTTTCCATAGTGATATATTGTTTTAAATATTTATTTTTATTGGAAAGGCAGATGTACAGAGAGGAGGACAGACAGGAAGATCTTCTCTCCGATGATTCAATCCCCAACGGCTGGTGCTGTTCCGATCTGAAGCCAGGAACCAGGAATTTCTTTCTGGGACTCCCACACGGTGCAGGGTTCCATGGCCTTGGGCCTTCCTTGACTGCTTTCCCAGACCACAAGCAGGGAGCTGGATGGGAAGTGGGGGCTGCCGGGATTAGAACCAGCACCCATATGGGATCCTGGCGCGTTCAAGGCGAGGACCTTAACCACTACCCTATTGCGCCTGGCCCCATAGTGATATTTTAAGAGACTCATTTCTTTAATAAAGCATGTTTCTTTTGTGTTCTATACTTGATAATCCCATTATCTGTAGACTCCAAAGATATGATTCTGATACTTTATTTAATTCTCAATAATGGTGGCGAGGTTCCCTGTGCATCTGAGATTTTTGGTAATATTTGTGGGGGTTTTGTCTGTGGGAATCGTTTGCCCCTGCCCAGCAGCTGAGCATGTCTGACCTTGGACAAGTTCAAACTGTACTTTCTTTGGCCCTTCTACAGGAGCTAGATAATGTCAATGCTAGCCTCCTGATCTGCGTGTGGGCTATGCAGTCTTCTCTACCTCGTTTCCTCAGGTGTGGTCTGTAGAGTAGGAATTCTGCTGTGGAATAAGTAAATGGTGTTTTAAGAAAACAGTTGTAGGTTCTTTAGCCAGATGATTAGATGCAATGATGAGAAACAGGATTTCCTCAGTGTAGATCATCTTAAGCTAACACACATGCAATAGAGCTTTTGATGTTTCTTAGTTGTAGGTGGTAACCAGAATCCTCCTTGTCCCACTCTGTCCTTTTTTGGGAACAGGAGATTTATACGTGGACCATCTCAAGGGACTGGGGGACCCCTGGACTGCTGTGGCACATCCGGGTCAGCCTGCTGAGATGCTTGCTCTTGCTCACTGCTTCTCCCTTTCCTGTCTTGTTCTCCTCCAGGAGTGTATATAACTTGATGGAAGCATGTGTTTTATGGAAAAATTATACAAGTTTCAAAATATTCCACTAAAAATTAGGCACCTGTTATGATGCCCTTTCCTTAATAGTATCTGTGGAATCATTCATTTGAAGAGTAAAGCTACCATTTCTGTTTCTCCAGAAACGTGCTAAGGGCCAAGTGTTATTTGACAAAGTATGTGAACACCTGAATCTCTTGGAGAAGGACTACTTTGGACTTTTGTTTCAGGAAAATCCTGAGCAGAAAGTAAGTAATTTCATTTATCTTTTTTTTAGAAAATATTTTACTTTTTTCCTAACCAGTGTATTTCAGTAAGAACGTTTACCTGTAAGATAACCTGTATGTTTATAACCAATTATTTTGTGTTCATTCTTGAAAGTAAGTAAATACTGAAAAATGATCTTGTGCAGAATCACCTGTCATAATTAGGCAGTTTGTGTGTGCGCATGTGTCGATGTGTGCTTTCTGCTTATGTCATGAACAGATAGGATGCAGATTCCCAGAACACTGGGTCACAGTAAACAAAACAAAACAAAAAAACCCCCGAATTTCTTCCCAGTATCTAGTATTCAAATTGCAGTGAATAGAATGAAACAGTTAATAGAGGAATGTGAGTGCGAACTTTAGTTGCCTACATACCATGTTTGTTTCTGTTTAAATGCCTCAGCAGTGAAACACAGGGTACTGCAAGTGATAATTATGTGTAAATTAAGTTTTCTCAACTTGCTTAGTTTTAAATGCTTGATAAGTAATTTGTGGCTTCCACATTTTACTAAAGACAGTTAAATTGCATGCCTGTATGCTGAATAGTGAATGTTCTAATTAGAACTGTTTAGAATACTCTTATCAGAAGTAATAACACATTTGACTAAATAAACTGGGTGCTTTTTAAGGGCTATTAATTGTAAGGTAGTCTTTCTAACATTTGCAGTCATGTATTCTTCTGGGCCTCAAAGCTGTAAAAGAGAAGTGAGACTTTGACTATTATTGTCTACTTTGAAATCACGTGTTGGTAGACTCCTAAGAGCATTTTATCTGTATTAAAAGGGAGAATGTTTATTATATTGTAGAGTAACATATTATAACCTAAAATGGGCTTTATTGCCTTCAGAAATCTAATATTTCTGGAAGAGTAATTTTGTGTTTAAAAAAAAGTGTATTTGAATAGAGGAAGTTCCTATTTTCACTTTTGATAGTTTCATATATATCTCATCCATGTTTTTACCTAAATCTCAGACCCATTTACTTAACTGCCTAATTTTAATTGCATTCAATTTTCCAAAAGGCAACTGATAATCTTCCCCTTAAACTCCATCTGTCTCTGAAAAGTGGTTCTGAATTCCTTCCCACTCTGGCTCTTTCCCCCTGCTAAAAAGTCAACAAGATCTCTTTTCCCCTGCTTGTGTCTCCCGTTCTTTTTCCACAGACCTTGCTTTGGTTTAAATGTCTGTCATCCCTGGTTTTCACTGTTTATTAATCTCCTAACTGGACTGATTGCCTACTCCATGTGTGATTATTTGATCCTGTTACTCTTTGGCTTAAAACTATGTAAAATACACAACCTGACCTCTGTATTGTGGTCTGCAAGGCTGTAGATCAAATGACCTCAGTCTAGCGTCATTTCTTGGTAATCTCTTACAGACCATATTCAATACACATTAAATTTTCTCTGAGAATGAATCTTGCTAATCTACATTTAGTTGCACTTAATGTTCCTTGTGTGTACAGTGTTTCTTCCATTTCTTCTCTGTCTGAATGTCTACCTAAAAGTGTCCTGCCCTGAGCTTGTCTTTGCCTTCCACTACCACCCTTCAATTTCAAATTCAAGGGGAATTGATTTTTCCCCTGTGTTTGCCATCTCATGTTTAAGAACACAAATCTTATTGGTGCAACTCTTTTTCATTACTCTGTAATTTCATCTAAGAGTGGAATGATGAGTTATCCCAATATAGAGTGTCGCATGGCAGGAGACAGCCCACATCAAGAGTAGACCTGTGCCAACGTAGAGAGCAAGATAAGGGTAGGTTTGGGTGAGTTTACCATAGCTTTCTCATTGACAAAAAGGTGCTAATACTAAATAAAGAGTTTAGAATTCCCTATTTTGCTTTGTAGTTTTTCTTATGAAATATAAGATAAAAATACTTCCTGGAAGTACAGGCATATTTTGTTTCTAGTTACATTTCAACTCAAAAGTTTTTGGGAGAATAGTGATATGTTCTTTCTGAGACATTAACTTTTTAGGAAATGGGTGTTTACATATGATTTAATGTATTTAATCGTTCACACATAATCTAATATGCTTTCATATGTTTGTGCTGTATAATTTTTATTCCTTCTTATGTAGGCAAAATCTCAGTCTCCAAAATCACGAGACAAAAAGTTTTATATTTCTGATGTAGATTTCTGTGTAGACCACTCTCCTCCCACTCAGAAACTTATTGTTATTATATTTAACTCAATCACTCCTGCTTTGTTTGAAACCTGACAACAGGATGCAGGGATATAAACTTTATTTTTTCCCACCATACTGTATATTATCTCAATTTAAGGAAATTTCAGATACTTACTATAGTCTCTCATAAAGTGAAGCTGAGGCAAAGCCACAGATATTTGCATGAATATTTTTTGTGAAGAGGCAGTCTAAACTTCCTTTCAGTTTTAGCATAGTGACTATATTTCATCGCTAGTACATTGAGTTGGAAGCAATTCATTTCATCCTGAGTGTGAAAATTTTTTAGAGTTTGTCAAAAGTGTATATATGAACTTTTATATGGAAAATGTTCAAAATGCAGATTCAAATGAAATAGGCAATTCAAGCAACATTTTATTCCAATCCATAACATTCTTGTTTCTATATCTTATAGTATCATCCATCACTATGGGTTTTAGATTTTTTAGATTTAGAAGGAAAAATACTGTCTTGAAATTTTGTTGTTAATTCAGTTTGGAATTTAACCCAGACATTATAATGTAAAAGAGGAGCTTAAAAATGCAGGTCTTATCCACAGCTAACCTTATGAAAAATAGTTACAGTCATTATCTGATAGCCAGACCATACCCCTGAAACTGCAGCTAACATCTCAAATGTAAAATCAGTTTATACGTATAAGCCACTATTTCATAAAATTCTGTGTTCAGTCCTGTTAAACCTTTTATAATCCCATGTTTTCCTATATGCACAGTGAATATTTGACTGTGATATAGAAAGTCTGTAACTTTTCTCCTGACACCAGCATTAGAATTTTTATTAGAATTGCTTTAAGCAAAGGGATCTGTTTCAGTGCTATGAATTCCTTTGGAAAAATGCGGATTTAGGTAGGATTACTTTTATACTTTTAATGTTTGTAACTTAGGGTGAGTTGAGTTGAACTTGTTAAGTTTCTCTCACCTGACAAGATTGTACATAACAAAAGGAAGTGACGAAGTAAGCTACGCATTTGAAAATAATTCTAACTTTGGGTGTTAGAGTCCAGCCTGAAGGAGAGAGGTTTTTTTTTAACCGTTAAAATTTTTTTCTTTTATTCTTTTAAAAATTATTTATTTATATGATAGAATTGGAGTGGAGTGGGGAGAGGTATATTTAATTCACTGGTTCACTCTCTGTATGGCTGAGATTGGGACAAAGCTAAGCAAGGCCAAAGCCATGAGCTGAAACTCCATCCTGGTCCTCCACTGGGCCATCTTCTGTTGATTTCTCAGACACATTAGCAGGGAACTGGGTTGGAAGCAGAATAGCTGAAATGGCTATAAAGTATGTGTCCTTGCAGAAGAGGACGTAACCGGCTTCTGCATCAGGCCAGCTCCTGAAAATCTTCTAGCACTTATTAAAATGACCAATGTGCTTGGGGAGCACTAGATGATGGTTCAGATAGTCCAGGCCTTGCCATCCGTGTGGGTGACCCAAACTCAATTCCTGGCTTCAGCCCATTTGGCCACAGCCCTTGTGGCCTTGTGGGAAGTGATTTAGCATAAGGAAGATACTCCCTTCCTCCCCTTCTCCTTCCTCCCTTTCCTCCTTCCCTATCCTTCTGTGTGTGTGTCTGTTACTCTGCCTTTCAAATAAATGAAGCTTTAAAAAAAATTGGAAGATTTTATTTAGAAATATTTTGATAGCTCTAGGGACACTGCCTTGGGGTTTTCAGTAAGTTAGAGAGGGTGATCTGACATCACCCCTCGGAACAATGGGGCTGCTGAGGAATCTATCAAATACCAAAGGGAATCAGATATTACATTTAATCTTAGCCAAAAGGCTGAGAAGCGATGGGGGAATCAGAAATTAAGGCTGAGAGAATCTGGCTAAACTAACTTATTAATCAGGGTTCTTGCTAAAATTGGGCAGTGCATAATTGAGCACCGAAGTCCAAAAGTTGAGACCTTATTGAGAAGATTTAGAGGAGCCAGACAAAAATTAGGTGAAGTAGAGATTCTGTGTCAGAAGTGGAAGAGGGATTTTGCGAGTCTCAGGGTATCGTCCAGCTTGGGGGATGGTCAGGGCTCTGCTGTGAGTCCTTGTATGCTCCGACTCGTTATAGGCTGCAGTTCCTTTGGTGCCTGTGGTTGCCTGTCTCTGCGTGGTGAAAGCAGTCAGCAAGTTGCAATAAAAAGCAAAACAAAAACAAAAAAACCTGAGTCTGGCACTCTTTGGGATAGCTGCTTAGTGAGATGGGGAGAAGTTCAAAGAAATGCTTAGATATGACAATGTGGAAATGACCCTGATAGACCTGCTGCTGGAAGTTGTCAACAAATTAGAATGTTTTTTTCAGTAAAGGTGTCAGTATAAGAACTTGAAAAATATCTTTCTATGTTTGACAGGAATTCTATGTAGAGAAATCTAGGCTGTACTACCAAAGGGTAGTAGTCCAAGGAACTGCAGTTTTGGCACTACCTAGAAGGTTTTTAGAAATGAAAAATTCTGTTGTTTTCTCAGCCTTTTGGTCAGGATCCAAGTATATTATCTGCTCTGATCAGAAATGAAAAATTCCAGGCCCTTAAGCCTGACTGCAAAATCAGACCTGCATTTTGGTGAGATCCTCTGATGATTCTCTCTCTTCTCTCTCTTTCTTTCCTGTGTCACACCCACACACCCCCACCTCATTTAAATCTTTGAGGCATGGCCACAATAGGCTGGTAGAATCACTTGGTCTGGCCCTGCCAATACAACTATATGCAGATTGAAATTTAATACACCCATAGCAGACTAATTTTTAAGTTGAAAATGATGTATGACCTACAGTTGATGTTATAAA